GTCTCTGTGACTTTGTCTGCTCCGGTCTGGTTCTTCCTGGTGGGTAATCGCCCAGGTGTCGCCGGACTTTTAGGAAGATTATACTCCTGATTTTGCGCTACAGTAGTCTTTCTTGCTGGATTTGTAGCATTTCTCAGACCTGATCCTGGAGTAGTTCCATTCCCAGGAGCATTGTTCCTTTGCACAAGCTTGTTCTGAAGGTTGAGAGGCTGAAGACCAGAACCTTGACTGGAATAGGCGGTCTTAGATGATATGGACGCCATTGCTTTAGTATTGGGTATCCGCTGCAGTGTTGACACAGGGGTCTGGGGTTTCTTTTGTCCATTGGGGGAACTTAGAGTGTGCTGAGTGGTGCCTTGAATGGGGTGTTTGGAAGTATTTAAATTCAAAGCTGCTACCCCTTTTGATTTACTCGCAGCTGCTTTCAAATCCAGACTCGTCCCGCTGTTCACACCAGAGACAGACAGTTTACCTCGTTGACATTCCTGCTCTGGCTTGATTTGTTCATGGAGGGGGAGGCGGCGGGTTGGACTGACCTCCCGGAAACCACAGAACTCTGTGAGTTTTTAACCGCCCCTCCCTGGGTCAGAGAGCTCCTGTTCTGACCAGCTGCTGTATCCCGAGGCGAGCCCCGATGGAACCCCATGAAGGTGAAGCTCGCCGGGTGAACTGGCTTCTTTATCACTCCTGGAAGATCAGAATCTTTAGACCCCTTCAGGATTTTGCGCGCGCCCTTGCTCTGTTGGAATTCCTTCACGTCCGGTTTCTTGCTTCGTTTTTTGGGCGGCTCCTGTTTCGCCACCACAATCTGCGCCTTCTTCTGAGGGACGGGGTGGAGGTCTCGTGTTCTGCCGGTCGGGTTGGCCTGTTTCACATTGCTGCTGTCGTCGTCGTCGCCGTCCGAGGAGGAGTCTGAGGACGAGCAGGAGGATGAGGAATCCGAGGAGGAGGAGGAGGCAGATGAAGAGCTGCTTGGCTTTGTATCCTCAGGCACATTTTCCTAAATTAAAGAACAAACATTAGACTTTATAAACCCAGAAATCAAAGAAAAACACTAAGCTTTTGTTTTTTACTTACTACTATTTTCCGTGGCCTTCCTCTTGGTCTTTTCCCTTTCTTGCGAATCAGGAGCTCCTTTTCTTGCTCTCTGTGTAAGAAAAAAAATGTCAACAAATGCTTACTGGGAAATTGAGTCTTTGACTATTAAAAAGATCCACAGTATTCTAAAATCCTTCTTTTGTGGATTGGTTTGACTAAATGTGTCCATTTACGTTCAAACCATAAAATAGATGATAAATAAGGTACTCAACTAGTAAAAGTAAAACCTAAAAGTATGTTTACAAAATATTACTTTGAAAAATTATTGACCTGCCTGGACTTCTGTTGAAACCAAACTGCCTCTCTGGGACAATAACAATGTAACTACCTGTAACGTGCGATAATTAGACTGAGATCTGACCTGTCTCAGAAATGTTTTCCATACTTCTGCTTCTACTTGCTGAGGTGAAGTCCTTCAAATCCATTAATGTGAATGCAGCAGGTCCATAAATGCAGGTCAAACAACATTCACCAGCGTGTGCAAGTCACTTTAAATTGTTTCTTGATGTCTAAATTAAAAAACAGGACACTCACTTCTTGTTGAATGCTGCCAACAGCCTCGGGTCCAGGATGTTTTCTTGGGGCTCCCAGCTGTTGTGTCTGAAAGAAACAAAATGAAAAGTGTCATTCATAGTTTGACATGACACTATGTAAAACTATGAATGTAGGCCGTCGTGCAAGTGGTGGAGACGCTAAAAGTCAGATTCAGATTCAGAGAAGTTGTTGTCTAAACAGACAGTAACTGACTCCAGGCAGTCTGAACATCACTGGAGGAAAGCTGTGTCATTCATGTCCGATCAAGTAAGCTCCAAAAAGCTGAAATCTGTTATTAAGCAAGAACAACTTATAGTATAAGTATGCTATAAATAAGGGATGTTTCAAGCCAACTAATTTCCTGGTTGGTAAAATGGAAATATTATGTTTTATAAATGACTATTCTTAAGGTATGATACACTCAGATAACTGCCAAAATTTATCACAACCTGTTCTAAATCGTCAGCTGGATAGACAATATCATTTGGTCTACTTAGTGAGGCTAATGTTAGCAACGCCAGCATTCGTCCCTCCCTGCAGGATGACATCCTCGTGCAGGTGCTGAATGTAATTACGCATTGGTCTGGTCGATATTCCAGTTTAACCTGACTCAGCCTCATAGAACCTTTCAGATCAAAATACTGTCAAACCGCTCTCTGTGTTTGTTTACATCTGGGTTGTAGATCTTGGAGAGCAGGTCCATTTCCAGGAGCTACAACCCCGGCTATTGGACGGCGGCCGAGTTGCAGTTTGAGCGTAACATTTGACCGACACTGAAGCCCAAATTATGAATCATTCAGGTGTCGACGAGCAGTGTGAGGATGCGGTCGACTAAACGAGCAAATTCCTGCTCTAAATTAAGACTCCTTCGCTTTAAATAGAACGGTACAATCCAAACGAATTACAGCAGGAGATGAGAAGTTAGCAAGCTTGTTAATTGCTCTTTCAAAATAAAAGACAACAAGCCTCACAAAATAAATATTTCTAGACTAATAAAAAGAGGCGATGCATGAGAGAACGGGAAATTGAGACTACACAACTCCCACGGCCACCGAACCAGTTCTGTTTTTAGTCTTTGTGAACACGACAGGAAGGAAGAACTTTTTTTAGGTCATGAAAGAGCTCTGACATTTATGGGAAGTTGTGAAAATAATAAAAATAGTGCTTGGAATGACACATCATGGTGATATCTGCTCCTTTTTTAGCACCTGTACATTACCAACTTACTTCGTTTCAATCCGACCTTTACATATTTTTGTCTTGATTTGAAATTGAAGCATCTGTGGAGTGTCCTGGTGACTGGGCGTAAACATGTGATAACTTGTATACATGCAGGGGAATAAGAACTTGCTTTACGCCACAAACAAACTGAAAATGGATCCACTTCGTCTCCTCTCAAAGTGATCTCAACCACATGCATGTGTAACAGCCTTTCCCCTCATCACTTGTTGTTGAATGGCCCATTCTGATCAGCGGTCCCCAGTGAAATAATCAACCCCCACCCCTTCCCCTTGCACACACACACACACACACACATTAACACACACAAAGGATGTGGGTCTAACAGAAAGCCATGGAGCTGGCAGGCAACAGTGTGCATTGATGGTGGATTACAGCAACAATGTGGAGTGAACAGAAAAGGCCAAGTGACAAGAAATGAAGGCAGAGTGGAGCTCTTACAAGCAGCAGAGGGAAACCGTCGAAAAATCACCATTTGTAATTGAGTAATACATTTAACCAGTGGAGTAGTGCAGAGTATACACACTTCTAAATGTGCTCTGATTCAATTAATTATTGACAATATTTTGTAGTATGCTGCAAGGATGGTGAAGGGTGACCCTCCCTACTCTGTCTCTAATTGGCTAGTATGCACTGACTATACAAGAGTAGTCTTAAAAAACACTGTTTTTAACACAGGCCATTTAAAACATTTAAACAATTTAAAAAAAACATTTGGGGAAAAATGAAGAGTATACCACTGTTTCTAACCTTCTATAAAGTGATTATAAATTAAATATTTAACACATTTTGAATTTGGCCGCTTGTTTTGGTTGTCATACACAAAACAACTTTAATAAATCGGATAAAAAAATCACATAAACGTCACGATAACTATAAAAAAAAAAAGGGGGGGAGTGGTTAGTACAAATGGAAAATAGCTGATTTAGTATATTTTAATTAGCTTTCCGCTAACTTCCCAAATTGGAGTTGTTATGAACAAAAGGAGAGAAACTGTAAAGGCTGAATTTGTGAGCTGAAATGCAACAGAAACCAAATGTTCCGACGTCCCGCCACATTTGTTGTTCAGTCGGTGTTTTGATAAGAAATGCGTAATGTTACAGCAACAGTTTAAGTTGAAGCAACAAGCGACACGTTGTTGTTGTTGTTTTCATTGTTCCGGGCAGCAGCACCACTTGTACTCACTTGGATGACCATCCTCTCCACTTCACCAGAAACTCCAACTTCCCCTGAGAGAAAACCAACAAAGAAGAAGGTTTATAGAAGCTCTGCTGCTGAATAAAACCAGGTGATAAAAGTTTGAATGTTTTCACAGCTCGTACCTTTTTCAGTCGTTTATTTAAAATGCATTCCGCATCAAAAACCTGCTCCCCCACCGCGCTCAGCTCCTCCATGTCTGCCTTCTTCGCCCCGAATAAGAATCCCTTTATCAAAAAGACAAGAGGCGCTGCCAGCCAATCAGAATTCACCTCGTGCGGGACCGGAAGTTGAAGACTTGGCCTTCACAGTAAGAGTCTAGTTGTCCAATACTCGGTGAGGAGTTGGTTTTTGTGGAAAAGTAAGACATTGGTTGTTGGGCTTCATTTAGTAGCCTAATCAAAAATTATAATGTTGAGCTATTTTATTTGTCCACCATCTTTATTGACAGACTCAGGAGTCCATTTGAAAACAGATTTAAGAAAAAACACAATTTAAAGGTAAAAAGCAACAAACAATCAACAAGGTTAAAGTGATAATAGGATTTTTTGCTCGTCAACATTTGTTTATTGATTAAAATGTATTTTAAATGAAGTCACTCACTATTAGGGCTTCATAAAAATACTCACAACTGCAAGTAGGTTTTTTTTTTGTCGGATCTGAATCCATTGGTCAAAGCATAGCACGCTATAAGATTAATTCAAATGTCATTTTATACATTTTTTAAATAAATAAAAAACACTTCTTTTTTATTAGGGACAATACAAATGCTAAAATCTTGTGATACCTTTTACAAAGTGAAAATAGAAAAGGTAAATATTTGTACAGTAATTTTTACTATTTCGAGTAGGCCTAATTTTTATCTGCATTATTGGTTAGACTTTAAATAAATGCAATAAAAAAAATACATGGCTAGAGTGGGAAAAACTTCATTTAGAGCAACAGGCATTACTTTATTCTGAAAGCCACTACCGGAAGTTCAGTACCATGGTGCTTAACTTGACGCTTTTTACTCGACGAGAGGCGGGCAATTGTGAATGGGGTTGCTGAAATATGTCCCTCAGCAGCCACCGTCCTCTAAGCGTTACATGTTTATTTGTTGCAGTTCATATTTTCAGTCTGTGGTTGTAACCTGATTATAACCTCAAAGAAGAGACATCAAAATAATTACAACCATGGGATAAAGTTATCACATTTCCACTCAAATAAGACTTAAAAAAAACACATTAGAGTAGAGACTAATGCATTTAATGTTTTTATTTTTATATACATTTTCTTAAAGTTAGGCTATTTCCTGCTGGACTTATTATTCTAATTAGCCTATTTGTGTCATACATCCTGTTTTTCTTGTTACACAGGAGCCTAATTAAGTTTTCTGCGTGAGATATAATTACAAATAAGTAGTTACATCTTTTACTCTTTATCATAGACGCTCATATTCAGGAAAGTTATATTCAGGAAAGTCATCTGTCACATAAACATAAGGGTATAGGATTTTCAAAATAAGAATTTTCTTTGAAACAATTAATTACAACATGTACAATGTGATCCCTCACACACTGGAGTAGACACTTTACAACCTTCATGATTAAACACAGTGAAAAAACACAAACACAAACTTCTTTATTGTAAGGCCTACTTGTGTGTTCTGTTCATTTGTGTCCAGTGTTGTGTTTTTTTGGTTCCTCGTGCTCTTCACACAGGGGTTCATTTCCTCACACACAGCTGTGTCTTGATCTCACTGAAGTGTTAATTTGCAAAGATTAGAATGAAGTTTGATGTGTATTTTTGTTTTCTGGAAGATGTGTTGAACTCCCCGATCTGAGAAAAGAAACAAAGAAAAATATGTGATGAAATAAAACATCTGAAAGTCATAAAAACAAGTTTCATAATGTATAAACATGAATATACATAACAGCGTTCACAGCACTCCCTTAAAAACATTTTAACTTTCATTCCCCAGTCCCACAGAAGTCAATCAGTAATCCCCGTTTAAAGAGAGTTCCCCAGTCTTTACCTTTGACTCCTGCGTTTCCTCTTCAGTATGTTGTGAGACACCATGGCTATAAAAACTACAGCAAGAAATCCACCCACTGCCGACAGCCCTGTGAAGAGTTTCTCCAGATAATGCACAGGTTCACCTGAAACCAAAAAAAAAGAAAAGAGAAAACGTTGTTATTATAAGTAAATGTCTTTTTTTAGGTTTGGTTTATTTCTGTGTGTCAGCGTCCCACAGTCATCTCAGCTGATAGGGAATATCTTTAAAGGACCATTATGATGTTTTCTCTCAATTTGCTTCTTTCCCTAAAAAATATTGGAATTATTTGACTATAAATGAGTTCTGTCCTTACTAAGGAACTAAATGATATAAAATAGAGATAATACCTACCTACCGCTTTGACCACAGGAAACAGAAATTTGACACCTATAATGAAAGTTCCTCACAGCTTTCCACTTGGCCTCAGATCTGCAGACCTCCTTTCTTTCACCTTTCTCAAACTTACATCTGATCTGGGTGTATGTTGTCGGAAATGATGGATGAATGGCCTATAATAACGAAGGAGCAGGTGCTGAAGCGACACACTTTTCTCACCCTCGGGGAGAGAGCCTCATTAGTCTGAGGTATAAAAACTCACCCGGTTTAGGACTGGTAACCAGCATGTGTTTGGTGACGTCCAGGTGGCCGTCGTTGACCTCGGGCCGGATGTTCAGGATGTGGCACATCAGGGCGTAGATATTCACCGTCTCAAAGGGCCCAACCTCCAGGTTCTTGTGAAACGCCGGACCCGCCGCCCTGAAGAATGCCTTCATGTCCAGCTCCTGGTTGTCGAAGCCGTGCTCGCCTTTGTTAAACTGAACTGGAAAATACTGCACGGGACACAAAGAACAGACGGACAACTTCACGTTAAGATGGTGCAAAAGAAGATAAAGATAAACAGGAATAAGCATTCACAAAGAAAAATGCACAAGAGGAATGAAACAATCCTAGACACTTGTGAAAGGAACCCACCTTACATGGAAGTTAAAAACATCTGCAAAGGCGTCCTGCATAAATTTAACCTAGTTTGTTAGCTACAACTACATTGTACCTTTTTGATTAGTAAATAAGAATTAAAAAACGGGGCCTTATCAGCAACAGAACTCACATATTATTGCTTTCTCTTATTTTGTCAGCAGAGGGCGATATTGGCCAAGCAAAAAAAAAAAACCTTCCTCACAGGAGAGTTATATCCTGTTCTCTATTTGTGATGTCTACCAACCAATGAAAATGACTAAATAAGATTAGAATTTGAATCTCTATTTTCAGATTTTCAAAAAGAGACATGAATCCCTTTGGTAATGTCTGGTAAATATTGTGTTTGTGACAGATTTGTCGATATTCTAGGACGGCTTGTTATCTCTTTTTTTAGTTGTTAAGTAACAGTCTCAACAAGCTTATCCCCTCCCTGAGATCAAACTGAAATTGGCCATAAAGGGAGTGAACAAAGAGTCTGATAATACATAGGATCACGGCGCTGTTAACCTATAGACTTTAAATTACCCGTTTCATCATCAGAGGAGCCACAGGGCTGATTATTTCCCCTCACATTTCGGCATTTCGAAGCCATTTCATGATTGAATTACTTTAGTCTTTTGAAATAAATTCAGATTTAATGGCTCTCAGTGCTGACTGACACATTCAGTTGCAAAGTTAGTGCACGGTGGAACGACTGAGCGGAGCGCGGAGCCAAGTGAAAATGCTAATTTTTTTGAATTTCTGAGGCATGAATAGCTTCATGAAGCATTCGAGAGCCCTGCATGTCATCAGCCGGGCCTGGATTATCCCGAGGACATGCAAATGCACTTGATTAAAATTGTAATGTACTAAGATTAGAATATGACTGGTTCAAAAGAGTCCAGTTTCACCATTTGCAGTGAGCAAAATACAACTGGTGATTTAAGTATTCTTGGAGTCAGGACTGGGTGGGGGGGTTATTTTTGTATAAACCAGGTGGTGTGTAAAGACCTTTCACCATCATTTTTCTTTTGTGAGTACGTCAGGACTATTCAGTTAATCCCATTCATTCAGTTGAAAAGGCCATAATAACCACATTGATTACTAACTGGGATTAAGAAGTTACCAAACCATTACAGCAACAAGTGTGATTGTTGCAGAATCTCTCCACAACGCAATGTTTGCACGTTTTTGCGGCCGTTTTAGAGCGGCTCTCTGCAGCTTGGCATGTCGATGGGGCACAAATGGCGACCTGAGGTAACTGTTTACTTTAAAGGGTAAATCAATAGGACTTGCAGTGGGGGTAGAAAACTGCTGCTGCACATCTTTCTATGCTTTCCCAATGTTCCAGCATGTTTCATTCATGACCAAAACCGAGCGAGTGACATCAGAGAAAACATCTGATATGTTAAGAAAATCACTACAGATGGGTTTGCATTGGAGCTGACTGAAAGCCTGGGAAGTGCCTTGGGTTCTTGGCTCAAGTTGTTTTGCTTTACTATGTTTCTCTCATCTCAAAATTGGCTGTTTATTAGGGGTCAGCCCTATATTCCCACAGCCCTATGTTCCCATATTTCTAAGATTTTTCTTAAAATTAGGCCGTATGTTCCCACAACCCTATGTTCCCACATTTCCAAGATTTTAGGGTTAGGGGTTAATTGGGTGTAATTGGCTACCAAATTGGGAGAAAGGGGGATAAACTCTGATTCAAATTTATGAAAAAGGAAATGTGGGAACATAGGGCTGTGGAACATAGGGCTGTGGGAACATAGGCACGCTCCCATTTATTATACTATCAGAGAAGAAAATTTGACTCTGTCCACCCACCCCGTTGATGACATATCCTGAGTCAGCCCATAAAACGATGGGGAGGATACGATCATTCTTGGCAAAGTGGAAACGCTCTGGCATCTCCTCCTTCTTGTACACATGAAGGTGTGGATGGGAACCCTTCAAGGCGTTGTAAACCTTCTCCAGCTTCCCCGGCTTGGGCAGCAGCATCCCAGAAGGGCCAAAGTCCACCAGGTGAAAGGCCAGGTCGCCGAAAGAGAAGCCGGGTATTTTGAACAGGGTGATTTCTTCCACCAGACCGTTGCGGTACACCGAAGTCATGCCGTGGTCTGCGTGATGATGATGTTCAGGCGGTCGCTCAGCCCGTGTCGCTCAGCCGAGTGTCGGATGTATCCCACCGTGCGGTCCACTTGCCTCACCATCTCCCGACGTTCCGGAGAGTCGGGGCCGTATCTGTGACCTGTGCCGTCTGGCTCGCCAAAGTACAGGGATACAAAATCCAGATTCTGGTCTCTGAACCAGCCCATGACCTTGTCAGAATTCATCCTCCATGCAGTCTCGTTTTTGTAGTTGTAGAGCAAGGGCTCCACTTCCCGCACCTCGGCAACCTGTCCCTGGTAACTGGAAGCTGTGCCAGGGAAATGAAGGGAGCCAGCTTTTAGCCCCTGGAAGGGTAGAAAAAGAGACACGTAAATATGCATCTAGTTCTGACTCCAGACTCCCAGAATGCAGCAGCTTTGTCAGTGGCCCTATGTTTTAAAACATGATGTTCTACATATATCCCCCTATAGGGCAGTTTTACACGTGCAAAACTCATCAGAAAAGTAAATAATAGTAATTATATGATGTTCTGTTAAACTTTATATACAGCTTGCTAAAAAATACTTTACATTGCAAGAGTTTTAGAAGTCCACCAAATTCAACAAATTAGATATTGATAAATGGTGGTTTGATAGCTGTTTTGCAATTGGCTTCAAAATGGCACTTCCTCATTCTTCACTACTGAACCGACCAATCAGGATCAAGATATTCTTATTATTCCATTCAACAGCAAAATTAACAACATTAAGACAGAGGAGAGGGCTCAGAGATGAAGCTTGAAGACTACCTATAGAGTCGTATTTTGAAGCCTCGGACCCATAGACTGTGCATTAAGATGGACACATTCTGAGTGATGTCACCCATTGGTTTTGCTAAGAGTTATTTGGAAGCCCATCCATGGCTGTCACCACTTTATAATCGCTGTCTCAAACTAACTTTAGTCACCTAGAAACGGGCAAAGAGCTGAGGTGGACTTTAAGCCTCTTGACAAACGGCTAAGACACGCCCACTTGCAGTCATATCAGCCACGCCCATAGTTATGCATATCATTCATGAAATCAAAACTGATGAGTTATACAAATATTCCCCCCTTACAGTCTATGCAGAAAATTAAAAGTGCTATTCTAACCAGGCTGTAAGCATGTTTATTTTTGTAGTCAAAATTGATATTTTAATATGGGATGTGTATGGGACTTATGTGTCTTTTGGAGCCAGCCTCAAGTGGACACTCGAGTACTGCAGTTTTTTGCACTTCAGCTTCATTTGCCACTTGATTAGGCCACTGACAAAGCTGCCAAATGTAATATTTGGTTGTGGGAACTGGCTGTAAAACAGAACAAGTTATGAACATATTTACAAGCATGCCAAAGGTTGATCCATTCATATTTCAGAGCGACATAAAGGGAAACATAATCAGAATTTCAAAGATGTTTCTTTAATCCACAGCTCAACTTTTTATGTAGCCTTTCACCAGTTGTCATTTGCATGCAGTCAACATCCACACCCTTGGCATAATTTGCAATATAACTGCGATGATCTGGGCCTGAAATTATTCATCAGGCCATCTGAGGTGTTTTGTCAAGAGAAATTGTTTCTTGCGCTGCGAACAGCCACACAGTCTCTCACAGAGATAAGCTGGAAATGGTTTCTGCACAGACCTGTTTCTGCGCTGTGATCCAGATAGGCAGACTGCCATTGTCCCACCACTCATTCACAAACTGAGTCTGATAGTACGGCTTCGTCTGAGTGGTGGTTGTGTTGAACCACATGTTGTGGATTACCCCGTGGTTCTCAATGTAGCGGCCTACAGAAGAGAATCACTGTCAGTCTTGCGTGCACTCATTATTCAGAGCGTGACACATTCACATTAAAAATTCTATCAACTTAACGGGGCTGAGTGGCATGAAGCTTTTTTGGACAAGGTCTTATGACCAACTTCGCAGATTAGAGGAATTTAATTTCAAGGAAGTTAAATTTCCTTTAGCTGGCGCTGATGATTTGAGAGTCAAAATAAGAAAAGGGGAGCACAGAATTCTTTCCCTCAGTCATCCAAGTATAATTATCTTACTCAGCTATAAAAGCTGTTGGACCCTGGGACATTCAATTACAACTAATTCCTTTTTCCCTTGGCTTTTTTTTCCAATCCCGAGCTAAACCCAGAGCTGGTTCCCACTCTGCCATGATATGCAGATCCCCCTTGCCAACTGGGAGCACCGTTGTAGAAAATGAAACACTTTACCTGTCAAGAGGGTGAAGTGTGAAGGGCTGGTGATGGTGAGGTAAGGAGGTGTGACATACAGAGCTTTCACTCCATCCCCGGCCATTTTGTCGAGGTGCGGCGTGTCCACGTCGCGGTCGTAATCCCAGCGGAAGCCGTCGAAGGAGATCAGCAGCAGCTTCTGTCTCGTCTGTTTGTTCGCGGGGGCTCCGAGGACGCACAGGGCCCAGAGGAGGCTCAGACCGGCGGTCCACAACATGATGAAAAACAACCACTTCACAGGTCTTGAACTGAATCTATCCTCGAGCTTGAAGCGCTTATTTGTAAGAGGATCCGCCTCCTTTGCGTCTCACCTGAGGACTCTGAGGACAGCCCCAGAGCAAAGTTTCTCCAACTTATCTTATCTCACAGATTGGACAGACATTATCTGAGCACTTTCAACCTGGTGATGTTTATGAGCCACTTTTTTTTACAGATGGGACTTGTGTTAACAGTGAGTTTCATCCCCCCCATGTTTTGCTCTTGAGGACTGGCAGTAAAAGCAGATTAATCTCCCCGGGCATCCCGGCTGTTTGTTTCCCTTTTAACTCGCTTGTTGATGCTGTCTTTCTGTTTGTCTGCGCGCCCGTCTGTGCTTCGGAGTTTCCTGTATATCATTGACAATGAGGGAATGGCACTTTGATGCTTTCACCTTGAGTTGGGATGGCGCATGATTGATCTGACACCGGGAAAATGAAGAGGAAAATGAGAGTACATATCTCTTCGTCAGCTAGCAGTGGTCTCTGGGGGGGGGGGAGAAACGACTCTAATAGACATATTCATTTTAATAACCCTAATGTGTGTTTTAGCCCCGGGATATTTTTAAAAGATCTACATTGATTCCTGCGATGGACAAACTATTCCAACTGCCCCCCCCCCCCTCCTCCTCAGTGTTTCAACTCTGATCATACTCCGCTCAGCCACACATTATATATCACTTTCATTGTGATGTAATCTTATCAACGTCCATCAAATTGCGAGACAAGGTAACTCTTCAAATTGGTTCTTTATTGTGTGTGTCCTTGGCAGAGGTTCAAGGGAATCGTCCAATCTTTATGGAGATAAGGGATAACATTCATCAGCTTTCATTTACCTCATTCATATTCATTAGCTCTCTCGTATTAACTCTATACTGCGCTCGTCGTCCAATGTCAGCAAGATTTTTCGGAAGGAGTGTTGTGGACTGCTGAGACCGCCGTGAGTCTCAGATCTTTGCTATGAGAACTTTATCAAACACACACACACACTCCTGAACTTGAGGGGCAAGCAAACTTTATCTGACCCTCTCAATCTCTGCACAGGGACTCCACAGGGAGCCTCACACATTCTTGGAGAAAAAAAAAGAAAGTCAGTTTTTTTTTTTTTTTTGCCTTTAGCACTCCCTGCTGCCTATACATAACCACTGTAGCACCACTTCCCAAAAGACAAACACAGCGTCATCACATTCAGTCAGAACATTTGCTGTTAACAAGACGTGGTGTTTTCCAGGCTGGATTTGCAGGTACAAATTAGACTTCTGTATCAGACTGTTATATCTTTGCACCATTCTCTGGACACCATCTAAGATCATGCTATAAATGATCAGGGTCGGAGCACCAAAAGCAGTGAGCAATTTCTGCTCAACTTATTGAACATTTGGCAGCTTTAAAAGGCCCCAAAACCCACTAAAGTTGATATGAGAGTCGGACTAGGTGAAATATTAGACATTTAACTTTTGCTAAATTAAGTGCCCCTTGAAGTTTAAAAAAGGGGTCCCCATGACAGTTCTGCCCTTAACAGATCTACTTATAGGATTTTGTCACAGTCATAGTGCCATCTAGTGATAGGGGGAAGAAACAGAATGAGAAGTCAAGGCATGACTTGAACTTCATGTCCATCAATGCACTGCATGACTACTTGCATGTTCGTTTATGCCACCTAGTGGTGACAGCCCAGAATGTCACATGTAACTCCATTTTTTCCCATCATAGAATAGAACAGAACAGAATTACTTTATTCATCCCAAACTGGGAAATTGTGGCGTTACAGCAGCAGCGTATCCAAACACACAATATTAGCAAATATACACAATATAATATTAAATACAAATTAAATAATCACTAAAAATATAAACACTAAGAATAAATATATATACATCCAGGATTTAACTTATTTCTAGTCTTAAATATGAAAGATTAAACACAACATACTTTGCTGGAGGTAGAAGTAAATGTGCAAAATAAAAACAGAGTTGTAAATGAACAGTATTTACATAGGGAGCTGATCTGTGCAATCAGTGATACATTAGTTAAAGTGCAGGAGTGTAGACATATTATCAGCAGAAACTAGTCAATATAACGGCGAGTAGACAGACAAATGAAGTGAACTTGAGTGCAGGGTTAATTTGTAAACTTACAACATGCGGCTGTATCTGTCCCTGGCTTGCACTAAGATGCAAGGGCTCGTTCATGCTGTTTTTTTCTTCTATAATGATAAATGCATCGTTTCTGTTGAGCAGTTTGAGTGAAGAAAGTTTTGAAAAATCAAAAAATTTAGATAAAATATGATCAGATCGTTCTTAATTGCAAATGAAAACCTGCTGCCAGATTGCTCCAAAAAGTAAAGTGAAAAACTTGAGAGTGAAAACAACCGAGCATTTAGATAAAAGCCAAAGTGAAACAGAACAAAACAGTGCCTTTGAGAATAGAAGAAAATCAATACAAACTGCACAGCTAAGTTGAACAGGCTTTTCATTGACAGTCTTGGCAGTAAAACGAGAGGTTTTTCTTCTTTCATTATTGAATTCATCATATTTAATACATACTTAATAACTGTGAAACGTTTGGCTTTCTGCAGTACACATATAGAAAAAACCAAACTGCTACTCTTGAATCAGAATTTCTGATGAAACAGGAGTAAGAACCTTTAAAATCACATCTCAAAAAATTCTCAACTTGCATCGGTATTCTGCTCACTGTGCGGTTTGAATAGCATGCTGCTTCTCTCCCCGCTGTGCCTGGAAGTAGACCATCAGGTTCATGCCGGCGTGCAGAGATCGATGTGTTCTGAATTGTGAGCAAACAAACTTTTAATGCATGAACGGCTTGTTATCAAGTTACATGCAAGCAAGTCCAGGCGTAAAAACTTCAAACCGCGGGAGAACTCCACTGGAGGTGTGTGCCTCACACGCTCACATAATCCGCTCTAAATAAATGCTACACATGTTTTCCTTTGATACTACAACAGTCTGTCCAACATAGTTAATTGCTCTCATACTGGAGGAACCCAGGATGTTGTTTCTATCAGCTATGGAGGGAGGCAGCGGAAGAGCTCAGTCTCTAACCTGATATTGATCAAAACCTGCACTGCTAAACTGTTTCAACATATCAACTTGTCAAACTGTAAGTGAATTAACATTGTCATTTTTTGGAGGCATAGACTGTATGAAACATGATTGAGTCTTAGTGACAACCCCCATTAGTTTCTGAAGACGTGTTTTGAAGTAAATAGCAAAATGGGCATGAGCTTTTCTAGTTTTCTGACTACTTAAAGCGCTTTTCCACCGCAGGTCAGACGAGTAGTTAGGTGCTGTGTGACCATCAGAAGTATCTAAGCACTGTGAAACAAAGAGAAATATTGACTTCTTTAGAGAGTATTGCATGCTAAAGATGAAGCAATGCACTGATTAAAAAAAAGAAAACCAAAGCCAATGTTACTGTTTCAGAGTTTCAACGTACAAAAACCTTGAAACCTTTTTTTTTTTTGGTATGAAATTGAAAATGCATTAAACATTTGGCAAAGGAGATACACTCTGTTTTTTGGTACTTTCAAGGTGTTGTTGACAAAAGTGAAAGAAAAAAGAAAAAAGACATGGAGTAACGCCAGACTTATCATTTTGAACAAGAGTCCAAAAGCACTTACACTTGCAGCTGCGGTGATCATTTCACCTCACAACATAAGACAAAGTGTACAACCTGGTGACTGCACACTGATTCACTGTGAAAGCACGCTGGCAGCAACATGTGGAATTATCTAAGAGGATAACATGAAGGGGGGGGGGGGGACCCTTCATGGTTACACTTGCCGCTCTGACTAAACAGACGCACTCAGTCACACACACATCAAAGCCGAAAATTCCCGTTTTGACATCAGAAATGTACATGTTTACAGCCTGGTACAAAAAAAACCTGATTGGCTCCTCTTTATGGGGGTGATTTTTTTTTTTAATGCATCTGTTTTGATTTTTATGAACTGCGAGCTGTGCGACTTGATTGACAGGTGGGCGTGGTTTGTCAAGAGGCTTAAATCCCACCTCAGCTCCAGCTGACTGAAAGTTAGGCTGAGACAGGATTTCCAACATGACGGCTGCTGCCGATGATCCTCCAGCGCCCCCTGCAGGAACAGATGGCTGACATCACTCAGGCTCCGTCCATCAATATTTACAGTCTATGGCTAAAACACAAAGGTAGCAAATGAGACCGGCATCTTCTCCGTAGCGTGCAGCAGTAGAAAGCCTTTTCTTGCCTTCCAGCTGGTCGGTTTCGAGTTAATTGCTAATTAGTTAGTTAAGTTGTTAATTGCAATCACGGCTAAAACCGATAAATTTAGTCTTAAAACAGACACAGATGAGTCGACACACCAAGTGAGCATGTGGTGAATGGTCACTATTAACCTGGAATACCTCTCGCATGTGAACCATATGTGTGTGTAATACGTGTTTGTGTGTGTGTGTTTGTGAGAGAGAGACACACACAGAGGAAAGGGAGAATGGAGGTGAGAGCATGAGTAAGAGCCGGGAGCAGGAGTGGAGGAGGCTCAGGCTTGTGGAGGCAGCAGGGCTGATTTGCGGCTTCATTCCAGCGCGTGGGCCCTTTCAGGCTCTGTTGCCTGTAACAGGTTGACGTGATAAACTCTGTGGCCGAGCCAGTCAGATGTGGCGCGGTGTGGGCGCCCTCCTCCTCCTCCTCCTCCCCCTCCTCCTACTCGCTCCTCTCCCCTTGGCCTGGTGTCTCATTGTGGCGCTGTGGGGCTCCAGTGTGCCGGCGTTACACTTTCACACGGCAGTAATTGATTTCTTTAATTTGCTTCAAGAGAAACTGTTGTCAGCCAAGCAGGCAGCCATTTTTCAGGGCCACTTTAATTAAATGCCAGGTCTTTAGGTGTGATATGAAATTCGTTTGGCTCCTCTGATCTTCTACTCCTCAGACAATTCATTAACATTTCCCTTTTCTGCCTTTATGTTTTACACAAAGCTTCAAAAAAAGGGGGAGCTCATCAGTGACATTTTCGGTTTCCTTCGCAATATACATTCAATCGTTTATTTAAGTGCGTTTAAACTAGAGAT